GTTAAAAGTTTGAAACCATGACATCATGCCAAACACCCCCTTACCTGCCAGTTATAAGAGGGAAAGTATAACTTTCTAGCACGGGAGCCTGGCAGCTACCCCCTTGATCAGGTGGGCTGTGAGATCACGCACAGCCTGATAGGTGTTGTGAGGAGAGCAGTACCACCTAGGTGATGTCTACCAACGTGGCATACCCTGACTGTAGCCCGAGAACTCCAGCTTAGAGCTGTCTTACAGAATAACTGGCCCATTATTGTGTGCCAGGGTCAGGAGACGCAAAGGGAGACTGAAGAACTGTTCCCAAAAAGGAGACTAGAGAGAAATAGTGAGCAATGTATACTTCCAGACTGGGTCCTTTCGTTTTTAAGGTTATTATTGAGGTAATTGGTCATAACAGAATGGGATCTGAAGAAAAGGTGAAAGTAATATATTGATGTGGTCATAGGCAGGACTTTTTCAGAAGTGGTTGGATCTAGTGTGTGATTGATTCATGGTGCAGTGCTAGGATTAAGAGTGCTAGGACTAAGGGTAGGTGATTACTAAATCAGTTCACTGATTGGTTTGGCATCCACCTTAATCCCATTAACTTAGATGGAATATAGAAGGGGAAGAAAGAAGCTGCTAAGGCACTTTGCTTACTTTGGTACCTTCTGCCTGCTGTAAACTATTTCTCCACTCCAGTGCTTGTCTGACATACCACCTTGCCTTGGAGCCAACCAATTATGGACTGAAACCTGTACAAACTGTGAGCCAAGTAAACATTCTCTCCCTTAGCTTTAGCTGTCAGGTATTTTGTCTCAACAACGAGAAAAGTAACTAAGACAGAATTTGGTACCAGAGAAGTGAGGTTGTTGCTGCAACTATACCCAACCTTGTGGTTCAGGAGTCTTTGGAACTGGCTTGTGGGAATAGTTCATAAAGGTTCGGAGATGCTGGCTGAAAAAGTAGCCCTGGAATACCTTAAGCTATACTAGGTGGGAGATTCTGGTCATAACTCAGAAGACCAGAAGGCTGATGGAAATGCTGCAGTCACATTGGCTGTGACTCCAGAACATGTGTTATGCCTTGGCAGAAAGTTTGTCTGCATTCTGCTCATATCCAGAGACTTTGCCTGAGACTGAGTTTAAGGGAAGTGGACTAATTAATCTTGCAGAAGAAATTTCAAGACAGTTTAATATTGAAGCCATAGCATGGCTGGTTTGGGAGCTTTTAGCCAGATCTGTGTTGAGAATCAAGAACAGAAAGCTCAGCAGCATGAACTGGACCAGGAAGGAAGTTCTAGTAAACCCGTGGACTGCAAAGATAGAGCAGAAGAGGAACTGCTGAGGAACAATGGGAGAATAGAAAAGACGGCCTGAGGGCATCACAGGAAGTAGTAGGACTACACTCTTTGTAGCTTCAAAACTGCAAAAGTGAAAGACATTGCTTTGAAGGAAGAGTCCCTGGCACCATGTTCCAGAATGGCAACAGCTTAGGACATTGTTCCTGTGGATTTGGTTCATAGGCACTCAACCCCTACAGCCAAGAAAGAAGGAGGCCTAGCTACTACTGCTCCAGCTGGCAGTGGACTCTGGCGTCATCTATGTGGTGCTGGTTTTAGAGTTATGGGATCAGGGTGGCTTCTCCCCAAATTTTAGAAGAAAGCCTGTGGCTGCCACTCTTGGCCCTCCCAAGCAAGTCTCTCAAGATTGCTTACTTCCTTCCTCTCCCGTCACATCAGCCTAGAGATCAGCATCAGTTGAGCCTGCTCCTGGGGCACCCCGCGAGTCCATTGTGCAGACTACACCAGTGCACCCCTTCTGGGAATCCCTTGGCTTATCTGTGGGGTGTTTCAGCACTTCTCTCCTCTGCTGGTCTGCATCCTGTTGGTGAAAGAAAGATATTGTATATTGCTTTAGGGCTTTGCAAGAAGTTTCTCTATGAACCACTCTGCCTTTTTTCAGTTATGATAGCAGCAACAGCAGCAGTGTAATAGTAACAGTAAGAGCTAATGTTTAGCTTTTATTGTGTGCTGTCAATTGTGCCAAGTAAGTGAGAAAGATACTCTTGTAGCCACATTTCATAGATGAGAAAACAAGGTAAGAAAGGTTAAGCCGTTTGTCATTTAGTAATGGGAAAAAAATCTGGAAATTCTGGCAGCTGTATGTCTTGTTTCATGCTAGTTGAAAATTGGCTCATGTGTTAGGTTGATCAGTTATTAAATCACAAAACATTTGAGGTAAAATGTTAAGTGATAAATATTAAATTTTTAATCATATACACTTAATGTCAAAAATAGACTAAATCCTTAGTTTATTTTTAAATAGTTTCATTTTGTGTTATGTTTTTAATTGGCTTTTCTTTTGCTTAATATTTTTTTAGATTTACCCATGTGGTTGTGTTTATCAGCAGTGTGGTGTTCTTTGTTACTGAACAGTTTTGCATTGCATAAATATACAACAGTTGACACATCCATTCTTGTGTAGTCAACATTTGGATTGTTTCCATTTTTGGCTGTTACCATAAGTCTGCTGTGAACATTCTTTTCCCTATCTTTCAGTTTCTCGTGGGCAGAGACCTAAAAGTGAGGTTGCTCTGTCATACTGGCCATGTTTTTCGAACCTGAATAAGTTCTCTAAAGTGCCAACACCATTTACACATCTCCCAGCAGTGTCTGCAAGGTCCACATCCCCCGCGTCCTTGCTGATGTTTGGCACTGGCCAGTTTCCAGTTATTTCAGTGAGTGCACATTGCTGTCTCACTTGATCTTGGTGTGCATCTCCCCACCAACTAGTGGTGCTCATGACCTTGACACATGTGCCTGTTGACCATTTGTGTGTCTTCTGAAGTGTCTTCCAGGTCTTTGCTCTCTTCTTTTTGAGTCGTTTATCTTTTGTTATCTTATGGAGGTGTTCTTTTTCTTTTCTTTCTTTTTTTTCTTTTTGGTCTTTTTGAGACAAGGTCTCATTATGCAGTTCAGGCTGGTCTTGAACTCACTTTGTAGCACAGGCTTGCCTCAAATTCACAACAATCCTCCTGCCTCAGCCTCCCGAGTGCTGGGATTACAGGCGTGCACCACCACACCCGGCTTGGAGATGTTCTTTATATCTGCATATCCTTTGTCAGATTATGTTCTACACTTATTTTTTCCCATTCTGTTCTGTTTCTCTTCATTGTTCTAATGGTGTCTTTTGACAAGCAGAAACATTTAGTTTTGAGGAAATCCAGTATTATAAAATTGTAATTTTTCTGTCCCAAGGTCACTAAGATACTCTTTGACACTTTCTTCTGGAATTTTTATGACTCTTGGTGGTATATTTATACTATCATGTAGCTTGCTAGATTCACTTTATGATGGAGAGAGATGGGATTGAAGTTCATTTTGTTCTATATAGACACCCTCTCTTTCTAGCAATGCTGATTAAAAAGGCTTTCTTTTCCTTGTTGAGTTGATATAGCATGGACTCTAGACCTGGGTCCCCTGTAGTCCTGTCTCAGCCCTGCCATATGCTGTGTAACTCTTTCCAAGTCGCTGAACTTCCACAGAACTCATTTGCCTCCTTTCTGCAAAGGTCGTTAATACTAATACTATCCCTACCTTAGAGGGATGATTTAGGATTGAGTATACATAGCCACATGAAGAACTTAGAAAGATGACCGATACATATAAGTGAACGTTAGCTGGCATTAGCAAATCATCCTCAGTTATGTTTACATTGTTCTCTTATTTATATTCTCTTCCTGACAACATGAAATTTGGCATAAATCTTTTTAGCACTCTGCTTATAATTTTCATAGTGTTATATAGAATCTGGTAAAGTTTTTAAAAGGTCTGTTATTTCATAACCAAAAGTTTTTTCTCTTTTTTTTTTAGCCCTGTACTGGTATTAGTAAGGTATTCATTTAGCATAAACTTATTGAATGCTGTGTTAGTTTTCTGTTACTGTGACAAAAATCCCTGAGATACCCAACTTGTTAAAAAAAAAAGGAAAGGTTTATTTTGGCTCACAATTTCAGAGGTTTTAGTCCATGGTCTGTGAGCCCTGTTACTTTGGGCCTGTGGTAACAGGACGTTATGGTGAGACTGTGTGGCAGAGGAGGCCCATTCAGCTCATAGCAGGTAGGAAGCAAAGAGAAATAGGAAGGGGCTGAGCTCCAACATCCCTGTCAAGGGTCCACTTCCCCAGTCACCTGGCTTCCTCCCCCATGCCCCACATTCTACAGCTTCCAGCATGTCCCTAGAGAGCCACAGGTGGAGACCAAGCCTTTCATACAAAGGCCTTGGGGAACCCTGGTTCTAACCACAGCAAGTATCAGCGCCAGGCACTGGCTAGGACTGAGGCTGAGCAGTGCACACAGCTTCAAAGGACGAAGGCCCACTCGATACTGCATGCCTGTATGGAGCCAGGCAGACAGGCATAAATACCAAGGAGCACTGAGACACTGCTGTGGAGGGTCGTGCACAGAGCACTGGCAGGGCTCCTCCTTCTGCGGAAAGTCAGGCAGCAGGGCTGGAAGAGGGTAGCACCTGTGGGAGAGTGTGGGAAAGGCGGGGAAGGCCAACTGCCGAGGTCCATCTAGTCACTGGTACAGCTTTATCTTTCCAAGATATGACGAAGAACAGGTGTGAGTGTGCACATATCCAGCAGCACTTTTACACTGGTGTAAAGCCAGTGAGTCCTCATACCTACAGCTCCCTCAGTGTGCTGATGGTGGGGCAGGTGGTGTGTTGCAGGTGTTGTCCACCTGTGGGCATGTGCAGCACCTGCAGTCTCAGCCTCCCCAGGTCATCGTGCTGTGCTGGGAGTGCAGAAGGGGTATGCGAGCCCCTGGAGAGGCAATGCTTCTCCTCTCAAAACTGCCCCCAGAGGTGGGGCCAGGTAGCCACAGCCCCCAAGGCAGCCACTCTACACACCAGTAGAGGAACACAGCCAAAATGTGGGACTCACGTGTGCCTCTTGTGTTGTCAAAGGAATCTTGTTTGGAAGTAAATTAGATAACCGATGGTGGCTTATTTTCAGATCTAAGTTGGAACCAGAACCACGTCCAAAGGCAAGAGAGTCTGCATCTTCTGAGAAAGTTTCAGAGACCCCTTCCAAGGACTTGGAAGAGAAGCCTGTCACCGAGGAATATCCAGGTGGGAATTCAGATAAACAGCTCACTTGCCCTTGTTTCACGAGGCCCCACTGGCAGAAATCCCACCTCCCTGACAGCCAGTGGAGCCGCGTTGTCAGCCCCTTCCTCAGCCACTGAGCCAGCTGGCCAGGATGCAGGTGCGCGTTGTGTGCTGCCTATCACCATGGACCCTGGTGGCCCAGGACTGAGAGCCACTGCTGACACCCAGCACATGCTGAAGAAATGCAGGGTCGCCTTATGTCTGAAAATAGTGGACCTGTGCAGGGCCGTCATAGATGTTTTCAGCCTGCATCCAGCCACCTTCTTACCCTAGCAGGGAACGTGTGTCTCACTGCATGGCAGAGGGCTTGCAGGGCAGGGTCCATGCGTGTGGCCCCAGGGTGGGGGCGCTGAAGGCCAGGGAGCCTGAGTGTTTTCCAAGTCCCTTCTCTGGCCTCCCTTGAGCTTCCTCACCCTGGCCTCAGACACGAGACCCCAGACTGATCACTCTCGGGTCAGCACCTTGTTCATGTCACCTTTCCAAGGTAAAAGCGCCTGAATGGTGGCCCAGAGCTCCTGCCGGGGTCTGTCTGGCTCTGGAGCCTGTGTCACACAGCTGCCTGTCTGTCCCATAGTTCCCTGTGCTTTACTATAAGCAAGAGCACTCAGTGTGGCCCTGGCCTCTCAGCCCAGAGGCACCAGAGGCCCTTCCTGTAGTTGAAATCTGCTGGGCACTGGCAAGGACCCAAGCATTTCCAGCACTCTCTCATGGTCCAGGCACAGACTGGGCATGTAAAGACTGCTCCTCTGGGGGCCTTGGGGAGTGTGCTGCTGTGGTGCTTTGCATGTGAGGAAGTGGATTTGAAGAGGTCACATGACCCGAGCAGAGTCCAGCTCTACAAAGGACAGCAGGGGCTCCTCGGGGGTTGAGATGCTGGGATCCCTTGGGCAGCAGCTCTGTGTGCCCCCCTCGAATCACCCACAAAGCCATGTCACTGCCTCTCAAAAGCAGTACGTAGGGGCATCCCAGCCGAATTCACCCAGGCCACTCATCTCTGCAGCTAGCCCAGCACTTACCCGAGAAGTGCTGCCGGGGCCCATGGGAGCAGGCTCAGCTCAGACTCCGGCCGGCAAGAAGAGGTGGAACTCACGGGAAGATGGGCAGCCAGGGGCCAATGTCCCGCCCTCGATATTCCCGAGATGGGTCCTTCCCCAGCACCTAGCTGCTTCCCTTCGGGGGCTGTGTCTGCCCTTTCCTCTGTGCCAGCTGAAATGCTTACTTCCTGTTCATGGATATTTTACTAAGTTTATCCACAGTTGCTGGAAAGATTTTTTTAAACCTGGCTATATGGATGTCATCCTTTTACTTCCCTCTGCTTTTCAGTTTTCTCCTTTCCACTTTGAAATGAGATGTCATAGGCAGCGTTTTGGTGCAGGACTAGGTGCTTTGGTTGGCAGCAGATGCCCCCTTGCCTGTCATACTCCTGTCCTGTCCATTTGCAGAGCTCCCCTGTGCCCACCACTGACCATTTAGGCCTTCTTCTCCAGCTTCGGCCCAGCTAGGATGCGTTCCTCATGTACCCATTTGAAGTCGGCTTTCCAGCCTCAGTTTCCCGTTATTCACAAGGGCACAGTTCCTTGTGAATACAGTGCTGACTGTGGCCCTTCTCCCTTGATAGCCGTCCTGCCCTGGAGTAGTTCACAGCTGTTGGGAAGACGAGATTCCAGTCCCTAGGAGAATGTCAAGGGGTGGGGTCAGGGGGACTTCCAGAGGTGGTGGCCCTGGGAAGGCAGGCTAGACCTGAGAGCTGGAAACTTAGGAAGTTCTCAGCCCAGGGAACCTCGAGAGCAAATGCTGAGAGGCCAGGCAGCGCAGAAACTGGTGTGGGGTGTGGTCACTAAGGAGCGCCCTAGGCGGGCAGTCAGTGACACTGGGGAGAGGAGATGGCTGGGATAGGTGGGGAAGCTGGAGGCCTTGCCCCTAGCCCAGGCATCTGCAGGCGTGTCCTGAGCACTGCTCTTCGTGCCACTTCCAGAGCAGCGGGTCAAGGTGGCTTCAGGCAGCCACAAAGCTGAACCAGGACGGGGCATGAGTTCTGTTCACGGCACTTTCCCATCCTAGCTCAGATAGGAGTGAGGTTTACATGTGTCCGATTTTATGCTCTTATCCTTAAGAAAAGAGAAAGAACAGTAAAAGCTTGAAAAGGGTACTCTGTGGAGACAAGAGGAGCCAGAGAGCACTGAGCGGGAGGGAGCCGATGGAAAGTGCAGAGGTTCCTAGCTGGAGAGTGGGGCCCGGAACACACCAGCTCGCTCAAGGTGTGGAGCTGCTTTCAGCCAGGCCCTTCTCGGGAGGTTTCCTGGAGTGACTGTTCTGGAAAAAACCACTCTTTTAAAAACCTGCACTGAGTTATGCAGAATATGGAGGTTTTTCTCAAGAGAGGTTTCCAACAATAACCGTGCATTTTATACATGGTCTGCCTGACCTGCCTTCTCTGAACTGCTGCTATTATGGTGGTCTCTTCTCTGTCAAAAGACCCTGGGATTTTGCCCATCTCACGGGGCCAAGGTTAACTAAGGAAGTTTACTGATGTTGAGAAAGAGACTCATAAACAAGACATGTTTGCTTTGAGTCAAGCCGCAGACAAGCCCAGAGGCTCTGGTGAGGCATGGGTGCAGCCACCTCTGCAGACCCTTTCCTCCCTGTCTGGCCGGGGAGTGGTCTCTCCTCCCGCCGCTCTGCGCCTCCTGGCTGTGCCCTGCACAGCCCTCAGCGTGGTGCCAGTGGCATCCGTGCTCCCTGGGAACCTGTGGCCTTGCTGTGCCTCCCATGTTCATCTGGTCTTGATCACGGGGGCGCTGTGCAGACCCCCATCTAGCAGCTCTGCAGCCAGGCATCTGGCCAGAGAAGTCCTGTGACGAGGGCACAGTGCCTTCACGCTCCTGAAAGTACTGGTGTACAGAGCCTAGCAGTGTTGTTGCCGTGTCCCGAAGAGTGGGTATCCTTGCAGAATAGCACGCAGCAGTGTAAAGAACAGGATCAAGCCATGTGGGCTGACCTAGAATGATCTCCGAGGGGTGTTGATAAATCATAAAAAGTGAGTCTTAGAACAATGTTAACGTTGGTATCTTTGTGAAATATAAGCCACTTGGTACACAAAGTGATGTGTTCTGGGTTGAGGTGGGTAGGGAATGGCATGTCTGTATTTCTGAATATGCTAGGTAAAGTCTATGGGGCTACATTAAAACAGTACTGAGAGAGGAATTAGGCTGGAGAAATGTATATCATTTCTTGTATTGTGTGCCCGTGTCTGTCTGTTCTTTTTTAACAACGGTGAAAGTATCCATGTTTTTTGTAGTCTTTAAAAGTAGTGGAAGGGTCTAAGTGTGAGTATGTTTTCAAGTACACTTTAAGAGTGGATCCAAAGAATGTTTAGTTTGCTGCCACTGCTAAATTCAATGCAGTACTGAAACACACGTGCACAGGCCTAACTGATGCGTGACAATCATCTCGGCGTCGCTGATTATTGGCCAAGAAAGAATGAAATACGCAGAAAGCTCAAGATTCTATTCCAGCCTGTTTTTAATATGCTTGCTGTCTACGCCTCCCTACTCGAAAGTGAACACTCGGCCTCTATGTTTTCAGTTTCTGTGTCTGTTTTTTGTTTGAACAGAAAAGACGGTGGCCAAAGCACAACCTGAACTGGGAGCCCTGGCAGACAGCAAGGGTGAAGATGCGCTATCCCCCGAGGAAATACAGATGGTAACGTGCTCCTCTGCCTGCTCCTTTGTTGGTGACGGACTGCCCGAGACCGTTGCACTAAGCAGGAGGTCATCCCAAATGTCCTTGCTGATTTTTTTTTTGTTTTGTTTTGTTTTGTTTTTCTCTGGTACCGGGAACCGAACTCACGACCTTGCGCTTGCCAGGCAGGCGCTTTGCCGCTGAGCTAAATCCCCAGCCCATCCTTGCTGATTTTTATATCGAGTTTTAAAAATTACAAGTATATACTTTCTGTATACTTCCCAATCTGATTTCTTCATTCTTAGTATGCTTTTCCAGTGCTTTAAATTTGCCATAGCATAATTAGAGAAGAAATTGCCTTGGGATGATTTTACGAGTAATAGACGTCTTTTCAGCAGTAGTGCAGCAGCCTCTTCGATGAAGTGGGTCGTGGGTGTTCCATAGTTGCTGGGGTGGTGCTTTGCACCGCCGTGCTGGGCGTGGGGGCGGGAGGAAGCACGAGCTGTGGCTGGGAAGGAAGGGAGCAATGCCAGGCCGCGGCGGCCTCCCCTGCTCCTCTCCTTGTGCGGCCGATCGATCGCTGCTGTTTGTCGCTTCTGGGTGGAGGGTGTTGCAGCACTGAGGTCAGAGGGCTGGGTGTGTGAGGGGCTAGCCTGACTGGGGGACAGCGCTGTCTTGTGGTAGAAGCGGGGGGGCCCCAGTGCTGTAGGCAGCTGCAGTCATCCTCCAGGACCTGCCTGCCCACCTCACAGTCTCAGCTTTCTCTGCTGCCTTCCAGCTGCTATTCCTCAGAGAACACCTGGGCTCCCCTCCTCAGGGCTTAGAGATGCCTTCTGCGCTGGCCGTGGAGACCAGGCCCTGTGCTCCCACTGCACCTGGCCAAACCCTACCTGGGTGGGGAGGTGACAGCCACACAGTCAGAGCCAGACACTGGGAGAGGCTACGTGTACTTCGCAGTGCCTGAGAGAATGAAAAGGCTCAGGGCCACGGTGGGCCCTAGAGTCTGGGACCAGCAAGATAGAAGGGGCCTGGGAGCACGCAGCCTCTCACCTGGCCCCACTAGCATCTGTCCCCAGGGAGAAAACACGGGAGCAACCGGGATGGAGAACTCACTGTGTGCGGGGCACCATGTGAACTACTCCATGCTCAGCCCTGCTGCTTGGGTAGAATTGTTTTCCCCACGTCAGTCACAAGTTACTTGCCGAAGCTGTGCAGGTCTGGAATTCCCACTGCAGTTCCACACCTTCAGGTGAGGCAGAAAATGATAATACTCAGCACATCCACCCATAAGGAAACCCACCGGAAGCCCAGAAACCAGCTAGTACTGGCCCAGTGTCCCTAAGGAGGCCACACAACTGGCTCCCATAACAGCCACCTGCCCCCGCGCCCCGTCAGTGGCTGAGCGATGCAAGCCTGCCCTTGAGACAGCAGCCAGTACCAGTTGCTGTGGTCACCCCCACCGGCGCCCAGTCAGCCTGAGCCCTGCTGGCCTCACGGCATCGTGACCTTGCGCTGGTCACTGTGAGGACCAGGTTTGGCGTTTTCGTTGTTTCTGAACCCCATTTCATTATAGCCCTGCCTTCCATCGCAGCTCCTGCCGCAGGCAGGCCTGTCCCTTCACACTCACACTCGACCCCTTGAAGCCTGTTTCTCTGTCCTCCCCTGGGGATCCGGTTTCTCTCTGGTGGCACTGACCACCCCGGGGGTCACAGGCAGGCAGAGCCAGCGTCTGCTCCCGTCCCTCTGAGCCAAGGGCTGACACAGTTCCAGAGGGGCCCAGAGGAAGTGCAACCCTAGCCCACCTGCCAGGCAGGGAAACAAAGGCTTTGTTCCCGGAACAGTCCAGGAGCTCATCGCACAGACCACTAGGCAGTGTTTTTCAGGAGCAGAAAAAGACTGTGGGCTTCAAAGGGCAAGGCCATGTTTTATCATTAGAAAAATTCAAAGAACATGCCTCCCCCAAAATACCCTGAGTGGAGTCTAAGAGAGTGAGTCAAAGAATTAGCACCTAGAAAAACAAGTAATTACGTTTTCCTTCGACTCTTAAGTCACTTTGAGTTGACACTTAACAGAGCTCCTACTTTTAAGTTCCAAGGTAGAATTTTTATTCTCAGTAGCTTTTTGGATGCCTGATTTAGCAGGCCACAGCAGTGCCTTGGCGCGGCCCGCAAGGCAACCATGGTGGCCCAGGGGCCCTTGGGGTCTGTTCTGGAGTTTGTGCCAGCCCACCCCTCCTAGCCAGGGTCTGTGGAGCAGCAGGGCTAAGAACCCGTGTCCTGTGGCGGGGGCCCAGCGCTAGGCTCAGTGCAGGGAGCCAGCCGAGGATGTCAGCGTGGAGCCATGTGCACCGCCCCCACCTCAAGAAGCTCAAAGTCTCCTCGGGAGTTTGTGGCTTCCAGTTTAGCACAAGGCAGAAAATGATCAGCATGCGAAGGTCTGCTCAAAAAATACCCTGCCGGGGATAGAAAACTGAGATGCTGAGTGTGGGGACATGCAGAAAGAGGAGGAGGGACACCTGATTGGGACTGCATGCCCATGCCAGGTAGAACTCTGGTCTCCAGGGTTGTTTCCCAGCCGCACCTGTAGCCAGCCCCAGATGTTCACCTCCTCTGGCTTGGCCAGAACGGTCAGGAGCACAACTGTGGCTCTCTGAGGAGCCCCAGGCGTCCCTGGGTGTCAAAGTGTCCTCCTCACCCAGCTGGAGGCCTTGGTCCCTGTCGACATGGTTGGAAGTCATGTGACCTAGGTCATCCTCTGTCCGGGCTCCTCCCTACCCTCCACAGCCCTGCCCACACCAGACCCTTCTCCCTTTAGCATGTGCGTGACAGGGCCATAATCCGTATGTCTCGCTGCTGAGTGGCTCTGACCCACCAGGTGGTACCTGCATGACCATCCCATCGGGCGATGTAGGACAGCCCCATTAAGGGGGTACAAGCCACCTGATGGGGCAGTTGCGCATGTGCCACTGCTGGCTCAAGCCGGTGGGGATGTGGTACAGAGGCCAGAGAGGCTGAGGGTGTGCAGCAGAGAGTAGGTGGGTGCAGGCTGACCCAGGAGCTCCTCGCCACTTCACAGCCACAGCCATGATGTCAGCCGGAGTCCTGCAAGTTTGGGTGCAGAGGCGTGCTTCTCCCTGAAGCAGGGGTGTTGCACAGGGATCTCCACCGTCAGGATCTCCATCTCCACTTGCTGTGCAGGGAGGAGGGAGGTGCCGTGGGGACTGGGGAGCAGATGCTTGCCTGAGCTCTGTGTGACAGCATCCTGAGCGTGTTTGTTTCCTTGCAGTTCGAGCAAGAAAACCAGCGACTCATTGGGGAGATGAACAGCTTGTTTGATGAAGTGAGGTATGTATGCACCTCCTCTGAGCTGATGCCAATACTGCTTTCTCGGTGAACTCTACTTACTGTGGTACCCAAGCACCACAGGCAGCCCCTCTGAGCCCTGGTGACAGGGTCGGGCCAGGCTGCTGGCTGCTGCCCTCAGGCTGCAGGGCCCACACCATCCAGAGAGGAGCAGATCACCTGGCATGTAACCACCACCACCACCTGCACACAGAGGGCTGTGTGTGTTTCTTCTCCAGAGACAGCAGGGGCTGTAAAGGCTGTCACTCCATGGGGCTGCGTCCACGGGGCCACGCTCCTAGGCCAGCGTGGCCAGTGGAAGCACGCAGGCCTCGGCTTCAGTGGGCGTGTCTGGAGCGTTGTGAAAGTGAGGCCTGGGTCTTTGCACAGCTGTGCTACACTGTGGACACCCCCAAAATAAAATCCTGATGCTCTACACATCACCAGAGACTTCCCGGGCAGGGGTGTTCTCTGACAGCCCCTCTCCAGCTCCCTCCGCCCAGTCTCTCCCTTCCTGGCCGGGCCCCACCTCCGTCTCCCTCCCCAAAGCCTGTGCTTGCTCTTTTTCTTCCCAGCTTCCCCCCAACCCCTCCGGTCTCCTGGCAGAGGGAGTCGTAGCTGCCCATGCAGTCCCAGCACCTTTTCACTCCTACCACTTTGTGCCCGAGCAGTGGCTGACTTCAGCCTGTACCAGTTTTCATTTCTAGATATGCGCAGGCCTCAGCCCACCCCAGGGTACCCATGCCGCCCCCAAAACAGAGAAGACACTTGCCAAACCCAGGTGTGATGTTTTCAAACTAAATGGGAATGGGAGGTGTCTGACCAGGGAGCTGTTCAGGACACTCAGTATGTTTAGACATTGTCTTTGGAATTGCTAGTATGTGTGACTAGGTGATGAGGCCAGTCAGTCCTAGGTCTTACCAGAGACTTGGCATAGCTCTGAGCATCCCGTTCCCTCAGACTGGCGCAGAGTGCAGGGGACTGCATGTGCTCACCTCTTGGGACTGACAGTCAGCCAGTGTCCTTCCTAACATGCAGCCTGGGCTCAGCCCGAGTCAGGAAGGGAGCCCGTCAGAGGGGCCGGCCCCGTCCCCGCCCTCCCGCCTCCCCCAGGAGGGATGGGCCTTCAGAAATGTGTCATTCCTGTTGGAGCCCCAAGTGTAACGGCTAACATGCAATCTATTGATTTTCTTTATGAAGGCAAATCGAAGGGAAAGTAGTCGAAATCTCCAGACTCCAAGAGATATTCACAGAAAAAGTTTTACAACAGGTAAACAAAAATGGAAAATCTGATTGTTTTCACCTTTAGCTTGAGAAACGTCCTGAGAAGGCGGATATCCCTGCCCGTGGGGTCTGCCCCGTGGCTGCAGTGGCGCTGTGTGCACGGCGGGCACTGTTGGTGCAGGCCATCCTCAGGGGACCCACATCAGGCGCATGGCCGCCTGTGAGGCGGAGCACACGGCCCACAGGAGGACAACGTCCAGGCCTGGAGCCAGGCAGCTCTTGGCCTGACTGTCCTGGGGTGAGCTGAGGAGCTCTTCTGGGCTCTTGGACCCCATGTGTAAAAGGGGGCGACCCTGCAGAGGCACCCAGTTCTGTGCCTGGGGGAGCAGCTTTTCAGTCAGCAGTCACAGGCCCGTGTTCCACTGGGTGCCGCGTCCTCAAGGGGAGAGGAGTATTGTTTCCCGGGACTCTTGCGACCTTGTGCACCTGCCCACAGTCCAGAAATTCTGCCACCCAGCAACTGGCTAGGTCAGTGCGACAGCCCTGATAAAGCGGCCCTTCTGCTGTAGCACGCACAAACTGCAGCAGGGTTTGAAAGCCGTCTTTTCTGTCCAGTGTGTGGGCTGGGGCTCTAGGGTATCACGGAACAGCTTTCCCTAGAGCACACAGCCAGTCAGATCACAGCAAGTGAGGTACACCGAGTCCCACCGAAGTTTGGAGCTTGGGCCTTGTTAGAGCTGCCCTTTCAGTCGCAGTGACAGAAGCGGGCAGACTCGTGGCGCTGCCCATGTGCAGATTCTTCAGCTGCACAGTGTATAAGGCAGTCAGGCCATGTCCCCCAGCATACCAGCTTGCTTCTGGGGAATACAGCCTGGTGAAAAGCCTGGGTCCTGTGCCCTTAGGTCCAGGGATGCTTCGTCCCACCCCTGCCTCTTTCTTGTCTATAAAATGGAATCAGTGTTACCCGCTTTGCTCTCAGAGCCAGTGACCAGGAAGGGCCTAGCAGGCCAGGTCCTGTGCAGGCTCTAAGTATGTGGGACTGCCATTATTTCTGGGTGTAGCCATGGCAGGTCGGGGTCCTGTCCTGTTTCAGTAGCAGAGCCGAAGCCACCAGCCAAGAGACTGTCACCTCAGCATATCTTTTGGGAAATACCACGAGGGCAGGCAGAGTGCAGGCAAGGTCCCCTTTGCACTGAAGTCCTGTGCTCAGCCAGCCCCTGAGGGGTAGCTGGTGTCCTTACTGCTGTGATCCTCACATCTGTGGCTGCCCAAGTCCGGGGCCAGACGTGGCCCACAGAGCGCAGGCAAGGTGCTGCCTCCCCACCCTCCTCACACTGCCCCAGGGCCCTAGACCTAGGAGGGGTGTGTTTGGGGTGTTGGAGACCTAGGGGATGCATGTGATTGTTTCTTCAGTCTTGTGAGCGGCTCACGTCATAGTCCTCAAGGGAACATAGACAGGGTCACTTAGCTCCTGCTTCGAGGTCTTCCTGAAAGGTGTGACCTCGGAGCAAAGGATCCTGGACCTTGTCCTTTCTAGTGTGTAACAGTCGCTGCTGGGAATCAGGTACCCCAAAGGCCCTTCTGCGGTGTGGTGCCGAGAGGCCTCTAACACCACACTCATGTAACCATCCCACATCAGACACAGTGCCAGCCTCACCACCCTACACGGGAGATGGATCCTTGAAAGCCACTGTGGGGGCACAGGACAGAAAAGGCTTATGGTCCGGGGGTTCCACGGGGCAGGCCAGGCCCTCCACTTCCTGTGCGTCCCGTGTCTGGCTGGCCTTTTCCGCAAGCATCCTGTAGCACGTTCTAACTTTTAGCTGTTCCTTAGATATGGTACAAGACAGGAGTATCTATAGAACTCGTTTTGAAGCTAGCGTACTTGTTTTAAAGCTGACTTCTCTGGACTTCCGAAAGAACAATGGGGCTGGAGGGAAAGCCCCAGCACATGGCCACCCCACACATCGCAGTGCATTTTGTCATCCTCCAGCGAGTGGCACGGGAGAGGCTGCAGGCAGGGCAGGGGGCACAAGCAAAGGGGTCCCACAGGGCAGGCGCCTCCTGCCAGTCCTGCTACTCAGCTGCTGTGACACTGAATGAGGAGAATTAGGGGAGTTCTGTGAGCCTTAAGCTTCCCTTCCAAAAAGCTGAGGTATCCCTACATCTTAGGTGCTGTGAGAACTCAGGCCATGTGAGTGAAGCCCCTGGCCCTCAGGAAGTGGCTGCTTCTATTTTCACTGTGATGTCTCAGGTGGGGGAGGCGGGCGTGCTGTATTTACCTGGCCCTCTTTTCCGCCACAGGAAGCTGAGATTGACAGCATCCACCAGTTGGTCGTTGGGGCAACTGAAAACATCAAAGAGGGCAATGAGGACATTCGCGAGGTAGGTGCTCCCAGGCCCCGGGGCTGCCCGGCAGCACAGGGGCAACGCTTAGGGCACATCCTGGAGCCGTGAGGCTCTGTGCTCACAGCTGGTGTCGAGAGGCCACGGCTCCCACCCTCGAAGCAGTCGGGTGGAGGGCCACTCCCAGTGCCATCAGGCCAGCTCCCCGGAGCCAGGGCAGGGCTCCGCGGAGGGAGCAGAGGGCTTTGACCCCGGACAGCAGCGAGGCCTCCAGGGCATCCTATTTCCTGGGAGCACTGGATTAGGCTCCTGCAGGATGCAGTTTAGCAGTGAGGAGAAAAGAGCCACTGTCTCCCATGGCACTCCAGCCTGCAGCACTTGTTGGCTTCACTTAATAAGCAGCAATCTATTCAAGGCGGCTTCTGGCCTAGTGACCCCAGTGGCCAGGAGAGGAGTGTGGGGATGTGGGGGCCCTGCGGGGCTGTTCAACCCCAGGCCACGGATAGCAAGGTAACACCTGTGCTCTGCCCACCCAGGCCATCAAAAACAATGCAGGCTTCCGCGTGTGGATCCTCTTCTTCCTGGTGATGTGCTCTTTCTCCCTGCTCTTCCTCGACTGGTATGACAGCTAGAGGCGCAGGCTGGGCCCGCACCCGTGTGTGCTCTCGGGGCACAGCAGGCAGGTTCGTCACTCCACACGTGGAGGAGCTGACACAGACGCGTGCATAACAGAACCAACACCCAAGCCAATCTAGCAGCTGGAAGAGAATGTGCATGAACTGGAAGGGGGCCGTGCCGCCGTCCAGAGGGCTGGCGTGATGGTTACTAACTGCTCGGTCTGAGGCCCCTGCCGGGCTGCTCCCCACACCACGCCGGGACTCGAAGTCTGCCCCTGCCCACCCCAGTGGCTGCAGGGAAGAGCACGAGCAGTGACACCGCTCAACTGATCGGAGTGCTTACTTCCTCGTGGTTTCCAGGCTGTCTGAGTCAGCTGACCCAGTCCTGGCGCTGCTGAAAAGAAAATCCCCATTTGCCTTGTTGATCTAATAAACACTGTCGCAGCCACCCACTGTGCTGCCAGTGAGTAGACTGAGCCATGCCATGGGTGCCCAGATGCTGCACCAACACTTCAACGGCAGGGTAGGGACAGGGCCGGGAGGACCAGCTTCCCGGCGCTGGTCCAAGGAGCTGGTGTTGAGACGGCAGCAGGCCACAGAAGAGTGGGGTCTGCTGCCCTGTGCCTCCAGAGGAGTCGACAGGACCACAGCGCAGGCAGAGTGGAGACCTGTCCGTGCTCGCCCGGGGAGCGTGAGGCGTGCGGACAGACAGCCCCTTGGCAGCACAGGCACCCTCCAGTTCTTTATTTGCACACAGTGAAATGTCAGAAGTCATTTCAGTCAGTTTACAGTCAATAAAGTAACGTCTGCTAGAAAACGCCAGCGGGGCTGCTGTGTGCGCGTGGGCTTCGTGGTGTTCAGACACAGGCAGGACACGATTTGGCACGCATTTATTGCTCTTTATGCATTCCCCACAGCTTAACAGCATCCTCCGCAGCACATGCCTCCGTAACACACACCCACCATGCTGAGGTCACGCCTCTGTTTGCAAACACCCTGGATACTAAAACGCGTCGTCTCGCAAGCACATTTCAGGGAACTACTGGAGCCGACCGTGGCCGCCATGCTTGTTCGCAACACGTCTGCACTACTTGTCGTTTATTTCCGAGCTACTAAAAGACAGTGAAACTTCGGACATGTCCACCAGAAACAGCACATTCAAATAGCATGAAAGGAAAGTCTGTGGTATCATTTTTCTATTTAATTGTCTTACACACTTAGTTATCTAACTGGCAATTTTGTAAACATTTAATGTCAAGATTCAAACTGAACATAATTACAAAGGTTGTAGGCCGAAGGGTCCTGTCTGCAGGGCGCCTTCCCCCCAGCTCTCCAGCCCTCCCTGCCTGTCTCTACAGCGAGGGAATTACATCTTCCCACAGAATAAAGCGTAAAGGAGCCCTGGCTAGGCAGCAATTACATTGTCACTTTTCTCACCCAGCTAAGTTTTTTTAAAAGCTTGAGTACGGGGCTGCATGTGCAAATGTGTTCACACTCGAAATTAACAGCAGGGCCAGTGTTTCCTTTCCGTCAGTATTTACCACAGAAGACGGCGCCCTGCAGCCCCTCGGCCCGGCTCGTCTCTGCCCGCCCCCCTCGCGCTCTACAGAGAACCTCGCCATCCCCACCCAGTGGCGCCCCCTTTATCAAGAAGCGGCACTAGAGGTCACCCAGAGCGCTGAGACCACACCGAGCCGCGCTGCAGGGCTCTAGCACTGAGGAGACAGAACGGGCTGGGAGCTGCCGTGCGGCCCTCTCCTCCCTTCCCTGCACCACTCACTGCAGCGTGTCCTGGCAGCCAGCCCTGGTGCCAGCTGTGGGGGGCAGGGCAGAAGAAATAGGAAGTCGGGTTTGCCCGCAGCAAAGCGAGAGGTCACTCCAGATAGGGCTATGGAGTAAGGTTTGCGGAGAGCAAGGTGGCTTTAAAAAAAAATCAACCCCACAAATGCAGTATTTATCTGAAGTCCAAACTCCTGACATATCCAGTGTACATTTATTTTTTGACAGCATCCAATAAGCCCCGGGAAGGAGCTAAATTAAGAACCCTTAACATGATGATGGTGTCGGAGCTCTTTAAGCAATGCTGATATGTACTTGGTTTTATGCCCATGGGTGGTCGGCAGCAAGTTTTATTTGCAAAGCAGCATTAGCAAACAGAAGCAATTGCACCGTAAATGAGTAACCTCTAAATTACCAGTAATTACATTTAATGAAATGTCCCTTTGTTACCTTCAAGTGACACTCTCTAAGGAACCTGCCCATCTCGCTAAGCTGACTTCTCAGCTGCTTCCGTCTCCTGCTCCGACAGCTTCTCTTCGGACAGAACGGACATCCAGGGCGATACCGAGCGGGTGATGGTCTGCTTGGCCAGGTTGTAGTGGTTTATGACTGTGTAAAATTTCTCCCGGGCGGTGGGGTCTTGCTCCGAGTAGTAGCTCTCCAAGCCTTCTGGGAGGCACTGAGTGTTCTGCAACACAAGAGCCCGTTGAGACCCCGCGGGTGCAGGAGAAGGCGCGTCCTCACTGCACACCCCACAGAGAGCGGCCCAAGGCAGGCGCCGTCCTGCCCTCAGCACCAGCAGCCAGGTGGAAGCTGGCATCCATGACACCTCAACCGAACAGACTCTGGCCAGCGCCTGACGGGTGCTCCAGGGGCCCCCTCGCCAAAGAGCTTGCACTGGGTATTACTTATTTTTAAACTAGTAGACATGTTTGCCATGCCCAGGAGCACTGAATCAAATCTCCCTGTGCCAGGTCACTAGGGGGCTTTGCCCTGGGGAAGAGGGACAGGCAGGCACGGGAGGCAAAGGGAAGGGCAGGAGGGGAAGGGCTGTGGGGCAGGAAGCTGCAGACCGATGCTGGAGCCCACACGTCACAGAGGGGCACGGCGAGGCTGCGGGGAGGAGGTGAGGGCAGGGTCAGAGCCGCAGGAAGCCGCAGGGGGGGCTCAGGGGTCGGGGCTGGGCTAGGAAGCTGCTCCCACTCCAGCCACATACTGGGGAGGCCAAGGCAGGTTCCAGATGGCTGGAAACCCTAAGGCTGGACATGCATTCTGGAAGACCTCCACACTGTCAGCAAATTGTCAGGAGTCTGAGCCCCAAAGCCTTAAGATCTTCACTGGACAGGAGCTGACCAACCACCCCAGAGTCAAACCTGATGTGGTAGAACAGGGTGGGGCACGGTGGTCTTGGTGCTCACATCCCGTGGACCCCTCACCCCAGCCCCACAGCGGAGGTGTGCACAGGCAACCAGCTCTTTCGTGCCCATTCCCTAGAGTCGGAGGAGACAAGCAGCACCCAGGAAATGATGACATTGCCCAGCCTGCCTTGCTGGCAGATGAGGCCACATGACTGACTTCCAGCCTGTAGGATTCCTGCTGATGTCAGGGGAGCAGGCTGGATAGGGCCCTAAGGGACACTGCATGCCTCAGCTCTTCCCAGCTCCCCCTTGGCCAACTGCAAGAGACAGGACTGAGCAGACCCACCTGCCTGCCAGCTGGGACTTCGTGTGAGGGTAATAAGCCTCCCTCCTTGTCATGGCCTCTGTAAGCTGTGTCTCTGAGCAACCAAAGCATCACACTAGCGCCAAGGCTCTCCTTATCAGATAGGAACATGAGGCCTGCTGTTCTCACGAGCCTCCATCTATCACCTACAAAGTCTAAAAATCGCCTTCTCAGCAACCCCTCCCTTGAGTCTAACTCAGCGAATCTCCTGTAGCCGTCCCCAAGGCGACGTTTCAACATCTCCCCAAGGAGCCTGAGGCTCAGCCCCACGCATCCGGCTTCTGGGCTGAGGCCACCGTGCTGGAAAGCGGCTGAGCCCATGGCATGCCTCCTGCTCCTGGCTGGTGACAAGAAACCCCCGCAGTGTGCACCCCACCGCGGCAGTGAGCCGGGCCTGATGGAGACCCTCGACATCTCCATGCTGGTGGCCGCTGTGCCCAGTGGATGTGGGTCGGGGGCGTCTCACCCAGCCCAGGACACTGGGGAGTCGCTCCAGGAACCTCCTCTTCCCCGAGTCTCTGTGAGCTGAAGGCAGGCTCACTGGGCCTCCTACGTGGGGTCCCTGCTCCCCGGGGATGTCCTGTGGATTGCAAGCCATCTCCCCTGGGCATGGCAGCAGGGGCATGGGACTGGGTCTGCACCTGCTTCCTGTGTCCCTCGATGTTGCGGTGGCACCCGCAGTCTGCAGGGTGCTCTAAGCACGTGTGCCCTCTGTGAGGTGGGCGCCACTAGTCCCACTTTACAGGCGTGGAAGTGAGGCTCAGCTTGGCCTGAGGTCACAGCCCTCCACCCACGCCGTGTCACCCTCCCAAGAGCAGACCCAGCACACATGGGCTGCAGGCGTGGATGTCAGCCCCTCCCTGGGTAACTGTCACTGGAGGCGTCGCATGTGCCCTGTTGTTGGTTGTCCTGCTGTGCCCTCAAAGGTGCAGGTACGGTGCTCACTGGCGAAGTGAACCTCAGCCCAGGGGGGCTGAGACCTCCCCCAAGAGTCAGAGCTGGCAAAGGAGCCTAAAGCCATAACCTGCATGCTCTGCTCCTTAGCCAGCCGGGAGCCCCTGGCACCAAGCTGTGAGGCAGCCAAAGCCAGGCCCTCGCACGTCACGTCACACAGCCGCTGTTCCGGGGCCTGGGGCCGCACGCTGAGCGAACCACACGGGTCGTGGGCAGATTCACAGGCAGGGTGGCAGGTGGGGCTGACTCTGTGAAGGAGAGGGGCCCACAGGCCCCCAGCTCAGTGGCTGGGGCAGGAGGGTCAGTCACAGCCTGGGCAACTTAACTAGACTCAAAAAATAAAAAGGGCTGGGGATACAGCTTAGGGCAAAGGCCCTAGGTTTGACCCTCACCACTGCAAAAAAATTAAATAGATAAAATATGCAAGTGGAAATCTGGCATCCTCGCCCGTTGGCTACTTTTATGATGCCCTCACATTCCCTCAGCTTGAGCCACTTGGTCACGGCTGTCAGGGGCAGCACCCCTCTGTCCGTGGCCCCCTGCATCCTCTCCAGCACTGCCTGGACCCTCAGTGCCCAGCTGAAACCGGTAGGGGACACTGAGTAAATACGCGCTGAGTGCTGAAAGAACAGCGTGCCCTAGGGCCTCTCTGCCCTCCACGTTCCAATGGTAAAATGGGGGTGCAGGAAGAATAGGGTGTTTACCCCACAGGGCTTCCGGGCCCCTCCAGAGAGCCTTGCATAGAAGCTGCTTGTGAGCCGGCTGCTGTGGGTGTGTGGTGTGCACACGCGTGAGAGACAGGAGAGCGAGGAAGCCGAGGGCAGCTGGGACAGACCCCTCCTGGGCCACCCAGGAAGAATCCACCACCTCCATTAGACAACAGTGCAGAACACCATAGGCAGCAGCTCCACAAAGCCTGTGGAGGCTCCAGGTTCCCCAGGGGAGACAAAGCCTTACCTTGAAGACGAACCCATCCGGGCAGGCGCGATCGTACTTGTACACCTTATAGACGACCAGGAAGACGATGCAGGTGAGGAAGGCCAGGGCAAAGAGGACCAGCACTGAGACCTGTGGGTGGAGGTAGGCACCATCAGGGGCAGCTGTGAAGGCGGCCAGGCAGACATATGTGCACACGTACACTGCACCAACGTGTGCAAAGACAGGAAGAACCTGGAAGATCCTGAGAAGGACATCTGGGGACAAGTGTTCCGGAGAATCGCCTTTCACAGGACATCTTGTATGCTCTGTACGGTTTGCATTTTTCACACTGGCACGTCACCTTCACTCTTCATGAGTTGTTTCGAATGTTCCAGGCTTGCAGAGAGAGCACTGGGTACAGACACAATACAGCCTGCGTGCTGCCCAAGCCTCTCCTTGGCGACTCGGACATGGGACTGGGAAGCGAGGCCAGGCTGCTGTGCCCACAGCCCAGTCACCGAGCCTGAGTGCCTGCTTCACGGACACCGCTAGAGCCCAGGCTCCGCGCTGGGACACAGCCTCACTCAGACACCCGGCTGCCCTTGCGCCAGGACCCGCCGACCTAGGAGGACGGCACATCTGCAGCCCTGTCCCCTCTGCCCTCAATGGTGTCCTGCAGTTCAGTGTGTGCCATGGGAACAGGGACTGACTTTCTTCACTGCTGTATGCTGAGCCCTACGCCGGCCCAGCACAAAGTAGGTACTCCGCTGTCGTTTACAGTAGAACCCACCACAGCACGGGGGACAGCTGGCGGGCAGGCAGGAGACCCGTCCCTGCCAGAGAGCACAGGGCTCAGGGCCCCGGTAACATCGCATCGGGACCCTGACGATATTTACCTGGCCGCTAGCAAGCCCGGCAGGGTGCGATCATGAGGCTGACAAGGCACAGGTGGGCCCCTCCCGCCCAGGTGAGCAGGGGTGGCTACCAGGAAGGAGCTGGAGGCACTGGGCACCAGAACCGCGGAGATCCTGGCACCCTACCTCCCACCTCTTCCACCGCCACGCAGAGAGCCCCACAATCCCAGACGTGGGGAGCAGGGGACCCTGCTGCTCCTGGGGCTGCCGAAGAGACCCAGGTGCAGCCGGGCTCATCTGAGTAGACCCTGCCAGCCTCAGGAGCCTGGCCTCGGGTCCACAGGGGGAGTTGGGGCTCCCCTCCCCCGTGAAAGGGAACAAAGCAACCAGGTGCCAGCCAGGACCACAGGAGGAGATGCAAGACGTAAGTGTGCTGCAGCGCAGCGCGCTCCGGGGAAGCCAGAGGCCAGCCCCGCTGTGAACTCAGACGTCACCGGGCGCACCTGCAGACCCCGCATCAGCTGCTTAGGCACCAGCGCCGGCCCTCTGCCGCAGGGCTGCTCTCCACGCACTAGCTGGGGCCCCGCCCACTTCAGCCTGTCTCTCACAACGTGGGGCACGGACTCCAGCACTTCACAGCCCCTACCCCGCTCCAAATCTTGTCACTGTCACTAGGGGCACTGCCCCCTTTCCCAGGGTCCTGATCTGCCTGGGCCTCCGGGCCTGCGTCCCTGTTGCAGATTGACGCAGAGCGCAGAGGCGTGGCGCAGGGGCGTGGGCGTGGTCTCTATGGGCCCCACCCACCAGCATCTTGCCGCCTGGCTGGTTCCATGCTGCTGCGGGACTTGCCAGTCCTCCAGGCACCCTGGCCACACTCCCCAGGTCCAGACGAGGGCAAACCCCCAGGACCGCAGCCAGCCCCGGTCACAAGCCACACCCGCAGCCACCAAATCCCCATTCCTCACCCCCAGCGCACACCCTCAGTTGGAAGGAGCCTTGTCCTCTCCACGCCCTCCTTCCCGGAGATCAGCCTCTCGGACTCCCCACACAACCTCTGAGGTGGCCCTTCCTACTTTAAATCCGGGTCCTCTGGCCTCTAGGCTCCACCCTCTTGACAGTGACAAGTTTAGGAGCCTGGCAGAAGGGTGCCCAACTCTACTCCAGCCTCTGTGACCCCGCACTGGAATTGTCACCTTCCCTAAGGCCGGAGAGACTCTGGTCTGTCTGGGCAACACGTATCACATATGCAGCCGTGCCTGGTGCTGGATGCAGACAGGATGGGGCCGGGCTATTCATGCCCAGGTTGCCATGGACACGAGGCTGAGTGGAGCCTGGAGGGGCAGTTAGTCCAGGTCTGCTGGAGAAACAGGGGCAGCACCCTGCTGGCACCAGGGAGCAGCAAGCACATGGCAGGACAGGGCAGTGACAGCCACCAGCCACAGGTACACGTGCCCTGTGGCTCCAGCTCCCTGTCCACCAGCAGGGACAGGCGTCACTCCGAGGGCTGCTGGGTGGGCCAAGGGGTCGGCAGGGTGTCAGGACCCTGAGGACAGGGCCTGGTGTGCTGGACACAGCAGCTGTGGCTCTTGCTGCTGCTATTATCACCGCTATCCTGCTGCTCGCTCACCTGGGGTCCTACAGACAGAAGAGCCGGCTCTTACCCCAGGTCACCCACACTCGCTTGGGGTCATTGCCTCACCCTAATCTCCCTGGCTAGGGACTCAGCCCCCTGCCTGTCCCCCAAGTCCCCACCAGCGGGGCTGTGTCGCTCAGGGTGGAAGGAGATGGCACGTCGTTCACCTGCTCCTTCAACCTGGGAGCCACCCAGGAGCCAGGATCATGGCGCCCCATCTGTTAGTGTTTAAAAATAACCCAGCCCGCGGCAGGCTGTGGGGAAACCACTTCCCCAGGCAGCCCTGGAACCTGGCCTGGGCCTTTATTGCAGGATTCCCAGGCCTGGCAGCCAAGGAGCTCACAGGACCGAGAAATGAGAATGGAGCAGTCCCTGGAGCCGTTGGGAGGAAGCGACAAAGAAAGAAACCGAGTCAGCAGGTGGAACAGGCCGTGACGCACTTCCCTGCCAGCCGTCCCCTCCTCCCCAGGCCTCAGCAGGCCACAGGGAAGCCCCTCCTTGTCCCAGAGCCTGCAAATCTGCTGGTGGCCCATGTGTCCCCGTGTCTGTCGTGGCTAAGACAGCACCCTGGGCCTCTCCAGAAGGGGCCCCTCCTCGCTTGGAGCTGTGCTGACCTCACACTGTGGACCGTGACCTTGAGCAGGTGGCCCGGCCTCTCTGGACGCCTACTGCATCTCACGGCTGGGGGAGGGGAGCCATGCCTCACATCCTTACAGGGTTACGAGCAGGAGGGGTCCGAGAGCGGACTGTCAGCCCACAGCTTGGGCCTAACTTACAGGCTCTCCAGAAAACTGGCTGAAGCCTACCCACAAGTACCTGCGAAGGTGACCTTATTTAGAAACACAGCCTCAGCAGATTTGATCAGGTTAAGGTTATTAGGTTGGGCCCTGATCCAATTTGACTGGTGTCCTCATAACAAAGAGAAACGGGGACACAGAGACAAGCCCATGTGAAGACTGAGGGCCAGAGTGACAGGCCCACCAGCCAACCAGCGCACAGCCAGCGACCCCCAGAGACCGGGGAAGACAGGTGGGCCCGCCCTGCAGAACTCAGAAGTCCAGCCCTGCAACACCCACATCTCAGACTTCTGGCCTCCAGGACCCTGAGAGAGTACGTTTCATGGCTGTAAGCACCCATGCTGTGTGGCACTTTGTTGTGGAAGCCACACCAGGTCATGCTGCCTTCTCCCTTCCAGCCAGGCCCAAGGCCCCCAGAAGGTTCTGGAACACTGAGCCTCTGGTCACCAATCCCACGTACTGCCATCAAGTCACCAAGCACCCGCTCTGTCCTAATTCAGTATAGGGAGTCCCAGTTCGGAGACTTGCATGAACCTCCCCCTCCCCCGAGACAATGAGGAATATTCTAGAACACTGAATGAAATTACTGAGCCAGGCATCGGTGCTTCCTCCCAGCCTGCAAGTCCCCTGAGGCTCGCTCTGCCTTGACAAGCGTCACTCGCCACATCCCAGAGAGCCCAGCAAAACTGCATCTTTCAACCAACTTCTGACTTTGGCCAAAGACATGAAGGATGAAGTAGCCACTTGGTGCCAGGACAAAGAGTGAGAGGAGGCTAGGTTTGGGTTCAAACTCTGCTCAGCGACACACAGCAGCCTCGGAAGGGCTCCCCCTCCCACAGTTCTCTCACTTGTGAAAGGGGCACCGGCCCTTCGCCTGCGCTCCTGGGGGCGTGCCGAGCCCTGGGGCCGGGCAGAGCTGGCACAGAGCACCCTCCCTGCACAGCACTGCAGCCTCCCAGGGAAAGAAGCTGGAGGACTGGGATCAGGCCCGCTGTAGTGGCTGAATAATGACCCCCCAGGGACACTCATGTCCTGTCCCTGTGCTGCAGGGATGTGTGTGTCCCCCAAAGGCATGTGTTGGGGACTTACCCGCTACTGTCAGGTGTGAGGAGCTGAGGACTCATCAGAGATGACTGGGTCCGGAAGGCTCCGCCCCCAGGACTGGATTCATGCCCTTGTCCAAAGAGTGGCTTCATTAGAAAAGGCCAAATTAGTACGCGTGGTGGTGTGTACCTGTAACCCAGCTCCTCAGAAGGCTGAGGAAGGAGGCTCACAAGTTCTAGGCCAGCCTGGGCAGCTTGGCAAAACCCTACTTCAAAAGCAAATGAGGGTCGGAATATAGCTCAGAGGCAGAGCACTTGTTCGGCATGCATGAGGCCCTGGGCTCAATCCTTGGTCCCACAAACACAGTCGCTGAAAGGGCGGATTTGGTCTCCTTTTCTCTTGCTCTCTCTGGCCTCTCTCCGTCCTTCTGCATGGAGCAGGGCGAGGAGAGGGTCCCTGCCCACTGAGGCCCGGAGCTCTAGCCAGGGGGAGCACCCAGCGTACCCAGGGGAGAGCTTTGCGCCATGGGGCGGGGATACTACACAGGAGGCCCCATGAGCATGGGGAGGGGCTGCAAGAAGCGGCGCTGCAGATCTGAAGGTGGGGAAGGGCCAGGGCCAAGGACACAGACCTCCCTGCTCAGGTGGCCTCTCCCACAGCCCCCATGGGCAGGGCAGGCCTCATGCAGGGACCTCCTGGGTGTGGAAGTGAAGGAGGGGCATGAATCCAGTCTACTGAGCCTTGCAAGCCACCCTGGGACCTGGAGCCAGCCTTGGCTCCCGTGTACACACAGAAGAGAATACGCATCTCATGTGTTTGCAGGAAGAGCCAATCACCCCGGTTTCATTAAGCGAATGACCCGGCACGGTGAGAAGTGGGTGCAGGGCGGCTCTTCTTCCAGCACACAGTACCTGGTGCCCACACCTGGCCTCTTGGGGGTGGCTTCAGGCTTAGTGCCAGGGACCAAGGCCACCAGGCCACCTGACAGGGACAAGGGGCTTCCCCAGGGCACAGGGGGCAGGGCCTGGCCACCATGCTTGCTGGGACCAGGAACATGTTCTTGTTTTCTTTTTGTTTGAAAATCAGAAGGAAAAAATGATGCAGTAGGAATGACTACGTAATAAGGAACCCAGCCTGGACTACTTCATCAGTGTCTTTACTTTTCTCTTTTTCTGTACAGAGAAAAGGGAGGCCCTGCTTTCTCGAATCTTCTGGGGCTCACAAGTGACCAAGGGACTTCTTGGGTGACCCGGAGTTGCTGGGAACTGCCAGCGGAGAAGCAGGAGACAGGTGGCCCAGAGGGGTGGTCTTCCGAGAGCTCAGCAGGGAGGCAAGGGAAAAGGAAAGCTGTTAAGGAGGAGCCAGAGATGTCCAAAGCACAACCCAGGTGTGGCAGCAGGCACGCGCCTATAATCCCAGCACTCTAGGAGGCTGAGGCAGCAGGACTGCAAGTCTGAGCCCAGCTTGGGCCACTTAGCAACTTCACAAGACTAAGTCTCAAAAAATAAAAAATGAACAGTAAAAAAGTGGTAAGAACGTAGCTCAGTACAAAAGCCCTGGGGTCAACCTGCATTACCCGCCCCCATACACGATGGTGTGACTGGTCACCAAGTCCAGAGCCCCACACGCTAGCAGGAGAGAGGGCACCCACAGGTGACGGGGGCGCCCTTCTGTCACACAAAGAGGCTGGGGCCCACGCGGGTTCTGCATGTGTCTGGCCTCCAGGAAGAGCTGCCCCGGTGTGACAGACCAGCACTTCCCACAGCACTGAGCAGCCGTCTGAAGGGTGCATGTGTCTGCCTGTGTGTACGGGGGGCACAGAGTCCACGTGGACCCTAAAATTACACCACTTCTGTGCACCCGACAACAGAAGCTGAGGCAAGCTGCCACTGCCTCCAGGGGGTCCCCCAGGGTGGCGCACAGTGGGGGTGGCCCAGCCCCTGGGTTGTGGACTTAAGGGGACCTGCACCGGAGCAGCAGGGCATGGAGGCCGGGCACAGGCTCCTCCATGATGTTGATGCCTGCGACCTCTTTGGCCACAGGTGACACCACAGCTCCTCAGGGTGATGCTTCAAATGCATGGGACGCTACACAATAACTTGCAAAGAAAACCAATTATACTGACATACTGCTATCAAACTATAAAGTCTTGATGTATGCACGCTTCTTTATGAACGCGCTAAACAAACAGAGCTTCTACGGACTCTGATTTCAAAAGGAGGATGAGCAAGAACACTATCCCAAGGTCCTGATGACAGGAAAACCCCTGTCATCTGCATTGGTGATAAAAGTCACGGGTCCTGCTAACACCTCTGTAGTTTGTAGCCTACATTAAAAAGTGAAGGGCTGTCCCCACAAAAGGGTAAGCCACTGCTGAGGGAAATTAAGGGAGATCCAAATCAAGGGGAAGATACCCTTGTGCATGCACTGAAAGAGCCGATACTGTTGAAGTGAGAGCAGCTGTCCAATTTTACAGATGCAATGCCACCCTTACCAAAATCCCAATGGCCTTCACTGTTGTTTATCATCGTTGTTGATGAGGATGTTTTTGTTGTTGCAGAAATGGGAACTGTAAGGACCTCTGAAGAGTCAAAATTACTCTTGGAAATAAAGAACCAAATTGGAGGATTCAACTTCAAAACTTACTACAGAGCTCCAGTAATCAAAACATCATGGTACTGGCATGAGAAAAAGCATATAAATCAATGGACTGGAATGAACAGGCCAAAATAAAACTCTATCCATGGTCAACTGATTTTCATTAATGATGCCAAGACCATTGAATGGGGCAAAGAAAAGTTTCTTTAGCAAACGGTGTTGGGAAACGTGTATATCATATATCCACTGGCAAAGGGATGAAGCTGGAACCTTACACCATAAACAGAAAGTAATGGTTAGAATGGACAAAAGACCTAAATATAATAGCTCAGCCATGAAGTGCAAATCCAAACCACAAAACGAGACACCACTTCAAACCCACAGTGATGGCAGTAATTGAGAAATCGTAAGGACAAGTGCCGGTGAGGGTACGGAGACACGGAACCCTTGTACACTGCTGATGCAAACGGAAAATGATGCCATTGCTCTAGAAAACATGTCGGCAGTTCCACAGCATGTTAAATATACAGTGTCAGGAACCAGCTGTTCCATTCCGGGGTAGATACCCAAAGCACTACACTCAAACAAAAATGTGTATATGAATGTTTGTGGCCTCACTATGCACAACAGCCAAATGTAAACAACCTAGGTGTCCAAAAAGAGACCAGCAGATAAACAAAATGTGTACATCCCTACGACGAGATACTTGTTACCCGCCACAGGCGAGAGAGGACGGACACCAGTGACAACAGGTCGCACCCTGAAAGCACTAGGCCAGGCCAAAGAACCAGACACAGAAGTCACATCTTGTAGGAGTCCTCTCACGTGACACGTCAGCACAGGGAAATCCACAGGAACAGAACGTTAAATTCATGGCTCATGTGCAGGAGTAGGAGCTTCCTTTTGGGTGATGAAAGCACGGTATTTGGGCACCACAGTGAGTACATTACACGACACTAACTGCACATTATAAAATGTAAGTTTCATGTTATCTATATTTTACCACCGTTCTTTTAAAAACTGGGCTGGAGCGGGGAAGCTGGGGATCACAAGCTGCTGGGGGGGTTCCCTTGATCAGTTTGCTCTGCTCCAAACTACAGCAGCCCTGCAGAAAAAGCCAGGGGACCCCGAGAGGTGTTTTCCCTACAGGTCCACCAGGAGCAATCACAAATAGGCCAGGGCCTGCAGGGAAGGTTGTTGCAAGTATACTGGGAGCTCGAGACCGTCCCAGTGGCCGCTGCCCAGCATCTTGCCTGCTGTGTCCACTGTCACTCACCGAAGTATCCCAGTGTGGGCATCAATCACAGCCACTCAACTGACCAGGCACCAGTCCACTTAGTAGGTCTGATCACTTGCCAGAAGGGCAGAATCAGCAAGGGCTCCACCTAGTCAGCGGCAGCAGAAGGCACTGGGTTCCCTGGTGCCACCTCTGCGGCTGGGGGACTCTGAGGCCACCGGCCAGCTGAGGGAGGGACAGGGGCGGCGGCAGCACAGCAGCATGTCTGCAGCAGCAGTCACCTGCGATCCCTGTGATGCAGAGCAGAGTGTCGGATGGATGTGGGTCTCCCTCCTGTCACCCCTCCTTACCCTGGCTGACCTTGGCCCTGTTCCTCCACCTCTCTGGCCTTAGTTCTCCACCTAGCAAATCAGAACAGTGAGGTCAGCCCTTCAGGCACTGTTAGGAAGACAGAAAGGAGCAACCCTGTGAGGCTCCGGGCCTGAGCAGCAGCTGGGTTGACGGTGGTGGGCGGCTGTCACTCCGCTGTCTCTGTCCTCTCTCCCTCGGGGAAAGCAGAGAGGAAATGAGTGCTTCTGCTGAGTAATGCACTGCCAAAAAAAAAAAAAATCTTGGAGAAAGAAGGCGAATCCTAACATCCTCAAGCATTTACAGCACTAAATGTTTTAGGTAATCCACACAGCAGTGAATACACACACACACACACACACACACACACACACACACACGACACAATCCACTCAACAGCCACTCTGATGGGGCCCCCTCTGCAGCTGGACCCCGAGCCCAGGAGCTCTACAACTGACAATGCAGGCGGCCAAATCCCACAAGATGCACAGTGAGGCTCAAGGTCACCGGGTGTCCAAACACATTTCCAGGGTCTGCGGCGAGACCGCCACCCAGGAAGATCCCCCACGCACACCGCAGAGGAGACGGCACCACGGCAGGTTAACACAGAACACGCGTGCCTTAGGCCATGCCAGGGGATGAAAAACAGGCACACAGGAATCTCAAGGTCATTGAGGACACGAGAAAAAGATACCAGCCACTCACAGGACCATCGGTGATGGGATGCCAAGGGACTGCCCCCCAGCACTGAATGCCAGGCGAACGTGTCCCTCCTAAGACACACGCCCAGCCCTGAGCTGACCCTGAAGGGTGCTCCTGTGTGAGGCCAGCCTCGGGTCTGCTAAGGTCCGGGGGCGACACGGCACAGGTCAGGGGTGTGCTGACCGCCAAGCCCTTCACCCCTCGGCACGTGAGCCGTGAAGAGTCAGCCGCTGCTCACCCCGCAGCCCCAGGAAGGACCTTGACCAAGAGCGACCCAGGCAGCACTGGACACGCTGCTCTGAACGGAGGAGGGGAGCACAGCGTAAAAATGCTCAGGTCGAGCCCGTCTGAGAAACATCTCAGGCCGCATTTCTTCTCGGCACAGATACACCTCGGATTAATTAAACGCCCGCTTCTCTTGGTGACACTAGCCGCCTCAGAAGCCTAGACTTTTGGCCGCCACGGGTGATTCATCCCGCCATCCCTGTGTGGCAGAGTCTTACAAAGCCCTTTCCCCACCAGCGGTTACCTAGCAACAAGCCTAGCAACCTCGCAGCCGAGAGATTAATCACCGAGTGATGATCACAAAGTAACATCCAGAACGACGTCGTTCCAAGGATGCCATCCAAAGGCTCACGAAGATGAGGCATGTCTGACGACGCAAATTAGAGACAAAAGGGACACACTGTTTACTTGTTGCTTCAGTATCTGAAAGGCAGGATCTCCTTCCCGCGATCCCACACTGGGGGCAAGAACCAAGCACCACCCACAAGCCGCCCTGTGGCCAACAGGACCCGGAAGGTGTCTGTCCCTCTCGTCTGCGACAAGCCTGGTGGAAGGGGGTGACTGGTCCTGACCTCCTATCCGCAAACCCGCTCAGCCCAGTGTGCAGAAACCAGGCTCCGCACGACGGCCGCCCGCCCGGCTGTGTGCACGCACTCAGGGACATCACTCACGCCACTGTGCCGGGATAGGCAGGGCAGCATTCCCAAGGGGTTCCGGCCAGACCAGGCCCCACCCAGAAGATTCCAGGACCCAGCGGACACTGGAACTGCCTGGAGAGCAGGTTCAAATGCACATTCCCAGGCGGCTGGCTCTGGAGGTGGCCCCTAGATCACTCAGCTGCTGGAGTCCACCACAATGTCCCCGGACACCCACAGCAGGGGTGCCTGGTTCTGACCGTGCCTGGGAGGCCTTGGGCAGGCCACCTGCAGGACCCGGCATGAGTGTGCCCAGACAGCGGCCTCGCTCAGGGAGCTGATGCCGAGCTTACACCGCAAGCAAGGGGCCCAAAGGGACGCCTGGAAACCTCGCCAAGTCCCCTTCACCCTTCACGGGGCCATTCGTCACGCATTTACTTCTCAGGCAGCTGCATCAGGCGCCGGGGATGGGATCCGGGAGCTGCCGCCCACCGGCTCGGGGCTGCCCGCGAGTCAGTTCTGCCCACACTCACAGTCCCTGCGCCACAGTCTTGGGCCAACATGCTTGCCTCGGGCATTGCTATGGCCTGGTTCCCTTGCCAAGGTCACCAACCCGGCTTGAGGGGCCTCTGCCTCACAAGGCCAGCCCTCGGGACCTCGGGCCACAAGTCTCCTGCACACATCCCCCACAGCGCTGGGATTTCAGGCACACACCATCACTGCTGGCTTTTTATATTCTGAATTTCTTCTTGACAGTCGTGGAGAATCATGGCCACCTGCGACCACCCAAGAGCCTGCCAGAGTGGTCCCCCCTAGAGAGGAGACCCAGGACAGGCGGGACGAGAGGTAAAGGGCACTGACATGGCGTGGCCTCACGGACCCGAGCCTGTGCAGACCCTGGACACAGGGAGCCCCGGCTCTGCGGGCCCCACGGGCAGCCCCAGGGCAGGCGCTGAACCCAGCAAGGACTGTGTGAAGAACAGCCGCCCAGCGCCCTGCTCACCTCAGGCTGGGACTCCCTGCAAAGCTGGGGCAGAGGCAGAGCAGGCTGCCCTGGGGTCATGTGTTCTGCCTCAGTCTCCCTCAGCTGGGAGGTGCAGATGATAGCGGCACCTGCCAGGGCAGCATTCATGAAGGCTGAGCGAGCTGACAGGCATACCGAGCTGCAAGCGGAGTCGGCTCGGGCAGCACACACACGTGGGTAGATGCTGTCACGGCCTCCTCGCAAAAGGCCGTGGGGACAGGGCCGGGGTGCCCATCCCACTGAGAGTGCCCCAGGGGACTCCAGCAATGTGCGGGTCTGCACTCGGGGCTGGGGAGTGTCTCACTGGAGCTGCTGCCTGGGCCTGGGGTAGGCAGTAAGAAAAGATGCTGGCTTTAGTTATTTGGGGTTTTGTGGTTCATTTTGATTTTTTGCGTGGACTTGATGTCACTGTGTAGCTCCTGCTGGCCTGGAACTCTCTGAGATCCTCCTTCCTGCCTCAGCCTCCTGAGTGCTGGGATTGCAGGTATGTGCCACCACTCCTGGCTTTTTAAAATTTTGATTTTTTTATTTTTTTTTTGAGACTGGGTCTTGCGGAAGGCACTGACTTTGGAGCTACAGAGTCGTGGGGAATCGTGGCCACCTTGTGACCGCCCAGGACTCAACAGCCTGACGTGTGCAGAGGCCACTGAGGGCCCCATGGGGAGCAGGCTATGAGCACAAAGGGCGACAGACGCTAAGCACAGCCGGTAAGCCGGCAGGTGCACGCGCCTCCACAAGGGCGGCAGCAGAGAAGGCGCAGGGCTCCTGCCCCGCAACCAGTCCCCTAGCACGGGCACGGATCATCTGAGGGCTTCCGAGCCTCGGGCTCCGGGCAACAGGAGCCAAGGCACTGCGCCTGGCCCCAGCCACGGCAACACCGCGCCCTGGGGGCACATGTGCGTCACCCACGCCTGGGGCGAGGACCCAGGGGCCTGTTACAGATGATCTCAAGGGAAAAGCACAGACCAAGGACACAGCAGGGACAGCGTTTGGCACATACAGCCACTCAACAGATGCAGGAGCCACTCGGGTCACACTGCTCCCTGCTCTGTGGGGACCTGAAGTGACAGGACTGGGAGGCACAGGTCAAATGGGGGACAAAAAGCTGAGACACACTCAGACATCCTGACACCCTGACTCTGACTTCAAGGTCACTCCTGCTTTAACCCGGGGTCAGCAGCTGCTCCCAAGGAGCCAACGGCAGCACATGACGCCCACACCGATGTCACCGGCCAGAGCAGGGGACAGGCCTTGACCTCAGGTCAGTCCATCTCAGCCTGGCTGTGAGCCTCATGCGTGTGAGCTGCTGAGGCAGAAGCCACCAAAAGGGCATCTCAGCACACACGATGTCCTGACACAGAACAGGGAGGGCAGACGCAGGCTCTGTGCTCTCAGTGTCCCCAGCTGTGAAATGGGCATCCACACAGTACCGGCTACGCATTAGGAGGCACTGGGTAGGCGGCTGCAGGGCAGACACGCTACAAGTAAACACACAAGGATGTGGAGGAGAGCAGGGCAGACCGAGGGGCAGTGTGGGGCAACACCAAGGACGGACTCGAAGTCGCTTCACCCCGGTGTCCCCAGTAGCTCCACAAAGCCCCTCTCCGGCTTCCTTTTCATGGTGGTTTCCTCCCAGGATGGACCCGAGCTCCCTGGAATGGAACCTGAGAGAATACGCCAAGGTGCTCTGCGCTGTGCAGAAGCGGGTGCGCTGTGCCCCAGTGCGAGCAGAGAGTTCGTGCACCCAAGTGGGGTGACCGGAGCGCCAGCCAGATGCCCCCTGGGCCAGAGGACCCTGGCCTCTCCTGAGCTGCCCTGTGCATCTGGCCAAGGGCCGCTCTTCTCCTCCTCTCCTGTCCCCCAGGGTGGTCCTGCGGTGCCCCCAGGCTCAGGAGCAGAAGCGCAGAGGCCGCAGGCGTGGGCTCCTGGCCCTGCCGCTCTGTCGCGGCCGCTCCATGCCCCCTCCCACGGAGGCTCACGCCCACGAGCTCACGCAGCTGAAAGGCTCGGGCCAGGCTGGCGTAGTAAGCACTGTGCGTTCATCCTCTGCTATTGTCTGCTTCCTTCCTGAGCTGTTAGGCAAATGTTTTAATGTTTGGAAAGCGACAGTTTTGTATGTTGATTCTAACTTTCTCTAAAAGAACGTTCATGAGTGGGTCTGCCCCACTATAAAAATAAGTAACACGTGACCACTCTGGAAGACGAAGACAAGGAAAGACGTTTTCACAAGCCAGGAGGATAACATCTCGGTGGGTAGCCGGAAGCCACAGCCTGCACAGCCGGGATCCACTCCCACAGACAGCGCCCCTCCTACCCCTGTATCCCTGGGAGTCAGCTCTGCAGCGGCTGGCCTCGCCCCACCCCAGGGCCGCTCACCTTGAACCTCTCGGTGACGCCCTCCGTGATGCTGACGGTGAACTCGGCTATCTTGGGGGGACGGCCTTTGCCTTTCTTGCGCTCGGGTTCATATTCAGTCTTCGTCTTCACGACCACCTTTTCAGGGAACAGAGCGGCACCCATCAGTGGTGAACCCTGTGCTCAGACACCTCTGCCCCAGGTGGGCGGGTCTGGGAACCGTCATATTCACATCCACCATCGCTCCAGGAAGCAATGCCACAGCGGAACAAGCACAACCTCCTCTCACCGGAAAGCTGCCCATGCCTGCGCTTCAGAGCAATCACCTACCCATTCAGAGTCCCGAGCACAACCCCTGGCGGGAAGCGGTGTGACAGAGGGCACAGAGGGTAAGCTCACGGCCAAGGTCACACAGCTAGTGAATGACAGGGTGGGGGCTGCACGACATCTGACTCTTAAGCCAGTGCTCCCTCGAACCACCAGAGCTCCAGCCTTGGCCCAGGGCTGCGGGAGGGTGCATCTTCCTTTGCATAGGCCCTTATGTGCCACCTGCCTGCTGTGGGCACAACAGATGGTCAGAGGGCACTGACTAGGGCCTGCAGACTCAGCTCCTATGGGATCTGTCTCCACCCCAGCCCTCTCTGCCCCGCCCTGCACAGCCCCCAGGGTCTCCCCGCTCTCACTCCCTCGCACTCGGCCTTCATCTGGCCAGAGCCGGTTGGCTTCTCTGTTCCTACTGGACGAGGAACTTCAAGGGTGGGGAAGAGGGCGTCACACACCTCTAATCCCCAGAGCAGGTGCCCATCAGAGGACCAGCCACCACATGCCCATCCTCTCGGGGGATCTGTCCCTTCCCCAGCTGGTCCATGGTTTTAGGGAGCTACCCATGGTCCACTATAGTGGGACCAAGCACAGAACAGGGAAAATAAAGCAACCCAGATGGCTGTCCCTGCAGGACAAATGGAGGGTTCCTCAGCCCGAGCTGTGACCCCTGGAGCCAGCCCAGGCGAGAAGGCACGGGGGACATGGCCTGTGCCAGTAAGCAATGCCAAGAGCCAAGAACTGTGCCACCACACTCTTGCCCCCGTTGTTCCTTTACATGTGCCCAGCGGGCAGGGAAGGTACGCCGGCCTGGGCTGGCACTCGGGCGTCACACCTCTGTCCTCCAATCCCAGGGCACCCATCGCTCCATGTGGCCTTGGGCATGCCCTCGGGTGTGCGTGGACAGCAAGGCTTCTCTCATCAGGGCTGCGGAGGAGAGCATCTGCGGAAGCCCACCCAGCAAGGAGACCCCAGCAACATCTCACCTGGACTCAGCCCGCACCTGCCAGTGACAGATTAGGAAACCTTGCGCAGGTCCCCTGCACGCTCTGAGCCTTCATTCCCACATGTGTAACATGGGGCAACCTTGGCCGTGACCTCACAGTGCCGCCATGCTAAGGGATCAATCAGCCTATGGAGCGGCAGAACAGGCATCCACCAAGCTTGAGCCAGGATGGTGGTCCCTGCCATCGCTGCCAACCCGGCGACAGTGCCCCTCGGTCCGATTTTCCCAGAGTGTGCAAAGCAGTCCTCAGAAGCCACGTCACCTGGGGCAGGCGATGTTGCCTCCTGATCCCAGGTTGCTAGCAACGCGTTGCTATGGTCCCAGCTGAGAAGTCAAGGGTGAGAGGGTCCAGCTACAACCCACGTGGACTGAGAAGCCCTACAGAACCCGTGCGTCCCGGGCAGCCATCACCTTCGGCACAGTGACCTTGGGCACAGCCTGAAAACCCTGAGTCTCAGTCCCCTCGTCTGTGACCTCAGCGACTTCCTAGCCCACCCTGCTGCAGCTCGCTTCTGGGGCACACTTGCCATGCAGGCACCCCTCAGTTTGAACATTTCCAGGGATGACAAACCTTGTGCCTCCCAGAGCCACCCAGGCCGGCCCTGGGAACCCGGCCTGGCTGCCCGGGATTCCATACCTGCCTGAACCATTCCTCCCTGCAATAAGCCAACTGTGCCAGGCGGTCCTGGAATGGAACAGACTGGAAGGAAGATGAGGCTCAGGCCCAGCAGAGAGAGTCACCTGACAGAGGTGCTGCTTCGGGACACAGGGTTCCTGGCACCACCATGCAGCTCCTGAGCTGAGCATCTGGGGTTCAGGAATGAGGGGAGGTGGGGCCTCCAGCCAGACTCTGCTAGCAGGGCCAGCCCGGCACCCACACAGGGAGGGACAGAGTGGAACCAGAAGCCTCAGGTGAGCGCCCCCAGCAAAGCCCAGCCTGGCCCCTGAGCGCCCTAGAACGGCCCCAGCTTGCGGGGGTGCACGGCATGGCCAGCTGGCCCCCTTTTCCCCAGTGGGAACATCTGCTGCCAGCCCCCCACTCAAATTACAGACAATGGAGCTAGGGGACAAAAGCTCCCTGGGGAGCTGAATAGCCTCTGGGGACTCCACGGGAACAAAGAAACCTCCAGGAAAACGACCCCACAGGGACACCCCACACAGCCCTGCAGGCGGCAAGGCAAAGCCCTGAGTCAGAGCTGCTCCACCAGGGACCGGATGAGACAATAAATGTAAAAGACTCTGGGGAGCGGGGTGGGGGAGGGGCGCGGCAGGAGGGTGGGAAGGAAGCCCTGCTTAGGGTTTTAGGAGAATTCTGCAGTACAGTTGTCAGGACTTTTAAAGGTCCTGTTAACCGTCGTTAACTCTAAAATACGGTCTTACTGGAAAGATAGCAACTTGACTAGATGCTATATGCCCCCAAAAGGGCATTTTTCAAATTCAGCAAAAATGCTCCGGCCAAGGCTGAGGGGAGGTCGCTCCCGCTCGCACTGCTCCCGAGTGAGCCCGGCACTCACTCAGAGGCAGCACGGGAGAAACAAAGAGGAAGGAGAGGCAGAGGGCCTGGTCAGCGCTCACATCCACACAGCGCCCGGGCCAGTCGGCCAGCGGGGGGCAGAGAGGACCAGCGGGGCGCCGGGCCCGAGGGAGGGCCCCTGGCCGAGCCCCCACCTCTGTGGGCCGATCGGATGGAAACGGGACCACTCCGGAAGGCTCAGGGGCAGCCGCGCCCCCAGAGCCCCTCTGGCGCCGCGGGGCAAGGGAGGTGCAGGGCAGCTAGGGGACCAGGGACAGCGCCCCCCGACATGACTTCCACAAAAATTAAAAAGGGACCGTGGTGGGGTCGTGGGACCCGTGGTGGGAGCCGACACCCGAGGCAGGGGCCCCCAACATCGCTGGGTCCAGAAGCAAGCAAGCCGGGTACGACGTCCTCGCCCGGCCTCCCTCCGCCAGCCGGAGCCGCCCCCACTCGGCGTCCCCAGCGCACGCGGCGATTCTTTTGTTGCGGCCACGAGAGATTTAGGGGTGCGCATCCCGGCAGCGTGCAGGGGTGGGGGGCTCACCTTATCCGGGGGCGGGAACTGCAGCTGATTGACATCGAGGGGTGTCATCAGGGGAATGGTGTCGAAGCCATCCTCCAGCAGCGGCTGCTTGCTGCCCTTCTCCGCGAAATTGTTCCCCAACTTCACCATGGTTCCGAGGGACCGAGGCCGCCTCCTGCGGAGGGAAGGGGGCGCGGGGGTCACAGCGAGCCAGGGCCTGGGTGGGGCGCGGGGCGGGCTGCGCACAGGGAAGGGGTCGCGAGCACGCGCGGGCAGGCCTGCTCTGGGGGGCTGTGTGTATAGACTCGTCTATTCGGACGAAGCCCCGGGCTCGGGGGCGCAGCGCAGCCGGGAAGGGGGCGCCGCCCCTGCCCAGCCCCTCCGGACGCGTCCCTTGTCCTGGAGCCCCCGCTCGTGGGCCATCCGCCGCGCACCCCGCGTCCTACTCGGACAGAGCAGGGGCCCCACGCCCCATCCCGCAGCGGGGTGCAGCTCGGCGGCACTCACCGCGCGCTCCGCAGGTCTGGGCTCCGAGCGCGCTCCGAGCCTCGCTCCG